CGCAAAGCGTGTTTTTGCGACACCGCGATAGAAATGATAGAGCTCATGTATCCCGATAGAAATTTCCTATCGTTTAGACAAAACATATCGTTATATTGTGCAGCCTTATGACCAACTGGTTGGGGAAAGAGTCCAGCGAGCAAGTAAGACCCATATGACGTCATAAGACGCTCAGTGCACGTGAACAATGCCTGTTTAGCTCTACGCAAGGCATGGGAAAGACTGCGCGACTGCTACGCTCCTGAGATAATCGAGCAGTCACTGTTCCACAGACTGGACAGCTTTCCTAGGACTTCAGCCAAAGACCACACCAAATTATGCGAACTCGGAGACCTTCTCATGGAGATACTAGGAGCCAAAGAGGATGGATATCTCACTGGGCTGTCATATTTAGATACCTCCCGAGGTATTAGACCAATCTTAGACAAGCTTCCATACGGACTCCAGGAAAAGTGGGTGTCATCTGGGTCATGGTACAAAGAAGAGAACAATGGTCGCTTCCCTCCCTTCCTCTATTTTTGTGATTTTGTGTGCCATGAGGCAAAGAAGCGAAATGACCCCAGCTTTATCCATCAAAGCAGTGGCCCAAACCCTACAAAGCCAGAACGACTTCCTGTGAAGAGTTTTAACACAGAGCTATCACAGTTCACAAAACAGAGGTCTCTACAAACGACAATGACCCAAACAAGAACTGCCTACTGCACGATAAACCACACCCACTCAAAAAATGAAGAACATTCAAACACAAATCCATCGACGAAAGAAAGCCACGTGAGCGCTTGCCAAATAACAGAGAGCATGCAGTCAAGCGGTTTGAATCCCTGCGACGACAATTCAAGAGGAACCCTAAGATGCAGGAACAATACGTGGCATTCATGGAGAAGATCTTCGCCAACCATCATGCAGAAGTTCTGGTATCTTCCGTCGTTCGGAGTATACCACCCACAGAAGCCCAATCAAATCAGGGTAGTTTTTGATTCCAGCGCCCAGTGCTCCGGTGTTTCCCTCAATGACGTGCTTCTGACAGGTCCTGACCTTAACAATTCTCTCCTAGGGGCTCTTCTACGTTTTCGGAAGGAGAGAGTCGCTTTCCTACCTGACATTCAACAAATGTTTCATTGTTTTCCGCTACATGAGAACCATCACAACTTCCTTCATTTTTTTGTGGTACGAGGATTACGACCTCAGTAAGCCGATTGTCGATTACCACATGAGAGTTCATGTTTTTGGCCTGCGAAGAGCCATCGCTAAAGGCTCCCAGAAATATGGACCTGACACAGTGAAGTTTGTGGAGAGACATTTCTATGTAGACGATGGCTTGCTGTCCTTGCCATCTGAAGTAGAAGCAATCGATCTTCTCCGACGAACTCAGGCTTCACTTGCCGAATCAAACCTTCGCCTGCATAAGTTCATGTCGAACAGCCCAATTGTCATTGGAGCTTTCCCACCTGAGGACTGTGTTCCAGTCGTCAAGGATCTGGATCTGAGCGGAGAAACAGCACCCATGCAGTGGAGCTTGGGCCTGCTATGGGAGATCAAGTCAGACACATTCACATTCTCTGAATCCCCTACTGTCAAACCTTTCACCCGACGTGGAGTCCTCTCTACTGTCAACAGCGTTTTTGATCCCCTGGGTTTGTTGGCACCCGTCACGATCCAGGGAAGAGCCCTCCTTCGGGGACTTACCTCAGAGCTTTCTGACTGGGATAAACCCCTCCCAGAGGACAAGCTGAAGAAATGGGAAACCTGGAGAGATTCTCTTCAAGTCTTAAAGGAGCTGCATGTGCCATGCACCTACACCCCAATTTCACTCCTCACCGCTGTGCACACAGAATTGTGTGTGTTCTCGGATGCTTCAACTAAGGCAATTGGAGCCGTCGCTTATCTGAGAGCACCTCAAGAGGACAGAGAAGTTGAAGTGGGTCTGGTTATGGGCAAAGCCAAGTAAGCGCCTCAGTCGGAACCCACAATCCCACACCTTGAACTCTGCGCCACCGTTCTTGCTGTAGAGATGGCAGATCTCATCCAAGAGGAGCTCGATCTGAAACTGAACGCTATCAGATTCTACACGGACAGCAAGGTGGTGCTCGGTTACATCTGTAACACAACAAAACGCTTCTACACATATGTCCACAACAGAGTTCAACGCATCCGACAATCTTCTACACCAGAACAATAGCACAGAAGAAAACCCTGCAGACCATGCATCAAGATCTTTGCCTGAACCCCTCTTGCCCAGATTCAGAGATCTGACTACAGGTTCGTACCTGCGCTACTTACCTGGAGGAACCTGGACTCACCTCTGACTGTTTTCAGCACTTTTATACTTTCAACTCTCTACTACGAGCAGTAGCGTTCCTCATCCACGTGGGAAGATCTCACAAACATAACAAAAACAGTGAGTGCTCAGGATGGCACAGATGTCACTTAACTCATACTGTGGAAGAGATGACTCAAGCCAAAGATGTTATTCTTCAAGCTGCACAAAGGTCAACCTTTGCAAGAGAGCTCTCAGCCCTTCAAGTGAACAAAGCGGTGCCATCAAACAGCATTTTGCACAAGCTCAGTCCAGCTTTAGAGGGCCACCTCATCTGCGTTGGAGGCAGATTGAAACACTCTGAGCTTACAGTTCAAGAGAAGAACCCAGTAATCCTAGCTAAAGACAGTCACATCTCCCTACTGCTTGTATGACATCATCATGAGCAAGTGAGACATCAAGGTCGCCATCTCACCGAAGGTGCAGTAAGGGCAGCTGGGCTGTGGATTTTGGGTGGCAAGAGACTAATTAACTCCACAAATGCATACCCTGTCGGAAACTGCGTGGGAGACTTGAAGGACAACTTATGGCTGACCTACCGCCTGAACGCCTCAAGGTCGCCCCTCCATTCACGTATGTGGGCCTTGATGTTTTCGGGCCTTGGTCTGTTATAACCAGACGCACCAGAGCGGGACAGGCCGAAAGCAAACGGTGGGCCATGATGTTCAGCTGTTTAAGTTCAAGAGCTGTCCACATTGAACTGATCAAGTCTATGGACACGTCCAGCTGTATAAACACACTCAGGCGTTTCTTTGCTATCAGAGGCCCTGCTCGGCAGCTTCAGTCTGACTGTGGCACCAACTTCATCGGCGCCAGCAGGGAGTTGGAGATAGACAAGACAGTGCAACAATACCTCAGCAAGAGAGGATGTAGCTAGAACTTAAGCCCTCCAAATGCTTCCCACTTTGGAGGCGCCTGGGAGCGCATGATTGGAGTGGCTTGGAGAATTCTAGAGTCAATGCTCTTGCAACAAAAGAGTCGACTGACCCACGAGGTGCTTTCAATGCTAATGGCGGAAGTCACAGCTATCATCAACGCACGACCGCTCTTACCTGTGTCTACAGACCCTCAACAACCATTCATTCTTTCGCCCGCGATGCTCCTCACACAGAAGTCAGGGGTTCCACCGCCTCCTGAAGAATTCACGGACAAGAGCTTTACACAAAGCAATGGAGGCAAGTTCAAGTGCTCGCAAACCAGTTTTGGACTCGCTGGAGACAAGAATACTTACCGTCCTTGCAACAAAGACAAAAATGGACTTTGCCATGCAGAAACCTTCAAGTCAGAGATCTGGTACTCCTCAGGGATAAACAGACTGTCTGTAACTGCTGGCCCATGGCAATAGTCACTGCGACCTTCCCCGAAAAAGGATGGACATGTCAGAAAGGTCGAGATAAAAACGACTGACCAAGGTGATGCAAGAACCTTTCTAAGGCCAGTTGCAAAAGTAGTCCTGCTTCTGCCTAAGGACTGATTGGACTAAGACTAATGTCTCAGACCCCGCAAGTTCATAGTGGCCTCACATAGGCCAGACGGGGAGTCTGATGCCTCTCAGGCATTTCTGTTTTTTATATTTACAGTGTGCTTTAAAATAATTAAAATAGTATGTTATGTAGTTTAAAAAAATGACAGTAAAAAGGTTAAAAGTTGTAAAGAAATTCCTTTATTTTGACAGTCAAGCTGCTTGTCACCTCATTTCCTCTTAGGTCACAGGTATCGGTCAACTCCACCACGACTCGTCTTTTATTGGACTCGGTTTAACTCGGTGTTAAAACAGAGTTGCTACACTCTGAGTGAGAACACTACATGTACTCTAAACAATGTGGCCACAACAGTGAGTTAAACAGGTCTGAGCCTGAGTGATGATCAGGATTTTCTGGGAGAAAGATTACATTATGGTCAATGGGAGGAATTTTGATGTATTTTTTATGGCTGTGGAGTAAAATTTGTGGGTGTGGAAGCGATATATTCGAGCTAGGTTTTGTCGATCAGAGAGGACCTCTCCACTCTAGCCTCTCCAATACACACCCATTATAAAGCCTGAAATTTGCTGAAAACCATGAGTTGCTTAAAGCTAAATTGTGGGAAAACTGTAGAACAGGGGTCAGCAACTTTTTTGACATGGAGTGCCATAATATTTTCCCTTGATATTCAGAGTGCCACCACGGCCATATTAAGAATTTTCCTAGTCAATACTACATTTTCACCCAAGTTTTATTGTCCATTTTGACATCACAACAGTCATAGACTCAGCATGTTTTCTCATCAGAACAGTCATAAACTCAGTATATATTTTCCTTCTCATCAGAACAGCTTTAGTCTCAGTGTATTTTTTCAGAACAGCTTTAGACTCAGTGTATTTTTTTCCACATCAAAACTAGACTCCATGAGTTCAAGTGCAATAACCAACCCACATAGGCTATCTCTTAGGCTACTACTCACACCCCATTATTCACCAGTCATGACATTTAAATTAGGAGTTGAAATGGAAAGCAAAGGCCATGTAGCCTACTACAGAAAATAAACAAATGCATACCAGTCACTGTGTTCCTAATCTGAGGTCCCAGATTTCCTCCTGCGGGGGGGGGGGGGGGGGGCTCCTTGGGCCTGTATGGCTTTGCTGAGCTCTTTTGTCCGGGGGTTATGGTGTGTCACTTTAAGTGACACACGTTGCTCCAAGTGGTCAGCAGTCAAACGACTGTGGGAGGGGCTGAGCACGTCCTTCGTGTGAAAAGACTTGTCCACAGAGGTAGGTTGAACCGAAGACTGACAGCAGAGCCAAAGCAACGTTCTTGAAGCAGCAGAATTTATCTGGTACAGATTTCCAACAGGCGTAGATGCAAGTTCCGTGATTTTTGTCTTCTGTAGTTTCCAATTCTTCGCGTAGCTCTGCAAACTTGGTCATCCACAGTGCTGGGCTTTTCAGCTCAATCAGTTGCATTGCCAAATCCTGTGTGTCCAGCCAGTCAATCAGAGATGAATCAAACTTGTGTCCATCAAAGCGTTCGGGAGGGATCAAAAAAGAGAACATGGGTCCATACTTCAAACTCCCCAAATCATTTTGTGCAGTCAGATTCTAGCTCACTGATATAGTTGCTGAGTTGTGTGGTGTTGATCCTCTGCCGCTTTGAAAGCTCTTGTACGTGTTTGAAATAGCAGAAAGCGGAGGTAGCAATGTCGTTTTTAAAGAGAGGTAGCTTGGCGACAAAACTACCCCACTTTTCATACAGGTCCAAAACCGTCTGCCCCGCGCCTTGGAGCTCAAGATTTAGCTTGTCGAAATGTCCGGTGATATCAGTGAGAAACATGAGTTTCGCCACCCACTTCTTATCCTCCAGCTGTGGATAGTCTTGGTCTTTTTCCTTGAGAAAAGGCTTTAATGGCATCAAAGCAGCCTACAAATCTCTCCAACACCTTTCCACAACTTAGCCATCTAACCGGACAATAGACAGGGAGATCTTTGTCTGTGTTTTCCATTTCCTTGAGCAGGGATTTGAACTGGCGGTGTGTGAGTGCAGATCGCTTAACTATGAAGTCAACAATCTTGGCAACGGTATCCATAACCACATTCAGACCTGAATCGGACATTTTTGCACATAGATTTTCTTGGTGTATTATGCAGTGCAGTTTCATGACGGGGTGACCGACTTTATCCTCGATTAACTTGACAGCTCCTTTATTTTTCCTGACCATGGCAGGAGTGCTGTCTGTTGTCACTGCAAATATATTTCCTTGATATCAACACCTCGCCCCTCAAAATGCTCAATAAACACCTTGGCTACATCCTCCCCCTTTGTCATGCCAGGCATCAGCTCTAAGCAGCAAAGTTCTTCTCTTATAGTCGCATCGCAGTATTTTGCCATTACTGCTAAATGTGGCATGTCATTTACATCCACGCTCTCATCAAGTGCAACGCTAAATACAGGGGCATCTTTCAAGCCAGCAGTTTGCTGTGACTTAACATTTTTTGCCATATCTTCTATGCGTCGCTGGACAGTATCAGCTGACATGGCGATGTCTTTTATTCTTAACTTAATCTTTTCTATATTTGGTAAGTCACCAAACAATGCATCTGCACTTGACAGGAAAGCCTCTTTAATATATTTGCCGTCAGTGAACGGCTTTCCATGTTTTGCAATGCAACGGGAGATTTCATAGCTTGCTTCAGTGCCATGGTCTTTAGCAGTGATAAAGTCGTGCAGATTGTCCTTTTGCTTTCCATACCCCGACACCGCCTTCCTTATCGCCTCTGCCTTTTCTGCTGCATCTTTGTAGTCTGCTGCATGCCTTGTCTCAAAGTGACGTTTAACACTGGAAGTGCGACTAACTACATTTTCAAGACATAAAACGCAGACGGGACGGTCCTTATCTTTATCAGTGGAAACAAATCCATATGTATCTGTCCACGCAGGCTGGAATGGCCAGGCATCTAATCTGGGCTTTTTAGACATTTCCCCCCCTATTCTCTTTGCACGGCGCGGAGCCACAACAGCATGTGTGCAGCAACTCTCACAACATGGGTCGCACACACAAACACAAACACACCGTCCTGCGTTTATGACGTTTATGATGAATGTAAACAAGCATCTGTGGAGTGGTGGCTCCGAGGTGTAAAGGATGTAAATATACATTCAAGGGAACAACAAGCTTGCAATTAATTTAACACAGAAACATTTTTAGGCTCATTGAAAAAAAAAAAAGGAAATAAAAAAAAAACGTTCTCCCGCAAACTGGCAGCGTGCCAGCCAATACCACCTGTGCCTAAGGTTGCAGACCCCTGCTGTAGAAGAAAACACAAAACAGTTAATACAACATATTTAGAGGAGAAGTTTTTGAACATTTTAAAGCCAAAATGAGGTCTGTAGGTGAAAGTATGCTGAAGTTACAAGGCTGAGAACGTGGAAGAATAAAAGGTAGAATTTTAAGATTTCCCCATTCATTTCGATGGGAAAGATTTTGCACAAAGAAAAATGCTGAGCGCTGAAAGCTTAAACCTTGTGCACCCCTTAAAATTTACTGACACTTGTTAACCTTGTGGCCAAAAGTGGACAGTCTAATAAAAGTGCAGTAAAAACATAATACATTCATTTTTTTTTTTTTTTACTTTAAAGCATTATATCTTGTCAACAACTCCAGACCTATCCATAGACACAAAGTTTATTATAATTACACCTTGTTATCCGAGGCACTCAGGTTCGTTCAACCAGGGAGGCAGGAGACGAGAATCAATAATAACGTACAAAATGTATTAATAAAAAGGTCGACATAATTAATGAGATGCAAATAAGATGATAACGGAGCCCAACTGAAACGGGGATACAGGCTGAGGCGTACGGGCTAGAGGAGGGGTCAAAACTGGTGACGTCCAAAGAAAAGAGAACACCCCACTCACAGCAAACATAAGGTGCACACAAATAAATCTTCAAACGGGGAGTCAAATAAAATGCACACACTCAGGGATCACCACCTTGGAGGACCACCACCACCACCGTTGGCCGTCAGCTCTGTAGGGGGAAAAGAAACACAATTAGGGAAAGGGGCTCATAAAGAAAACACACCAAAACATAACCAAATCAATAACTAATCAATTTAACTGGGTAATAATGTTCGAAATGAATCAGAAATCAAACAAAGGAAACATTAACAACTCTCTGGCCAGAGATAAACTCAGAAAACCAAAAATTAATTCATTTAAACCACTAACAAAAAGGAACTCAAACTAAAACATTACCCATTAAAGTATAATAAGTACATTTCCAAAAATAAACAAATCACTTAAACAAAACAAATAAATAAAACAACCAAACCAAGAAATTACCCAAAAAGAACAAAACGAAATGAATGAGCGACCTTCACAGAGTGCCTTTAAAAGGTCAAACACACATCCTCACACACAGTCCGAACCGGGGACTCGCAGTCACGTTGACCCGGGTAACACACTCGCTCCGCACCTCGCACGGCTGCTGGGGGGACAAAGTCAACAAAGGGGAGTCGGCATGAGGCAGCCGACCGCACCCCGAAGCAGGCCGGCAAACAGCGGAAGCAGCGGAGGCGTTCAATAACGGCAGCAAAGCGGCAGCGAAGCAGCAGCAGCAGCAGCACAGCGGCAGTAACCAGGTAGCCGGGGGCTAACCAGCCGTAATGAGACAGGGCCTTTCGTACTTAGCTTTCAGTGTCTGCAAAGTCCGGTTCACCATCCCGTGAATTTTAGTCCCGTCCAAGAGGGAGAGGGGTGAAGAAGGCCTGCACAGCAGGCGGAGACAGCCACGCGCTGCACGAGGAGACAGCCACACGCCGCACGCAACCAGCAAACTATGAGGGGAGGAGCGGAAAGGGGCTTAGCACCTGGCTAACAACAACAAACAAAGGTAGCTCGCCATGACTCACCTAGGCTTGGATGACAGCGGTGAATGCGCCCGACAGTATCGTCCCCAGACGCCAAATGCCAGATCTATCAATCAACGACGGTTTAGGTTAAATAAAACTCAGACGAGTGTGCACAAATCACACGCCAAGGTGAGCCTACCTGTGCTCCGAGGTGAGCAGCATGGGCGACGACCCGGAAGTGGGCGGGCCGAAGAGGCAGGAAGCGAGAGGTCAGGGGGAGGAACGCAGCCTACTTTTATACCCTCTGTCTGCACCGTGATTGGCTAAGAGCTTGAAAGAGGCAAACAGAGCCGAGCTTGAGGCCGTGGTGCCTCATACCACTACACAGAGATGAAGGTGGAGTAGCAGTGGAAGTGGGTGTGACAGTAGTGTCAAATCTGTTGAAGAACAGGTTGACTGCATCAGCTCTTTTCACATCACCCACCACTGGCTGTCTTTTCTTTTGACTGCTGTGTCCAGAGATGGTACTGATTCCTCTCCACACTTCATGGATGTTGCTGTGTTGTATATTATTCTCTATCTTCTTTTTGTACTCCAGCTTTGCCATCTTCAGTCTCCTCTTCAACTCTTGTTGCACTTGTTTGAGTTGTTCTTTGTCAACATCTTTAAAAGCTTTCTTTTTCTGGTTAAGGATTGCTTTTATGTCTCTGGTGATCCAGGGTTTGTTGTTGGGGAAACAGCGAACAGTTTTTGTGGGTATAACTGTGTCTCTACAGAAGTTGACATAATCAGTAAAGCAGTCAACCTGTTTATCAATGCTCATACTATACACATCTGTTTCCAGCAGCACATTCCAGTCTGTTGATTTAAAACAGTCCCTTAGAGCTTCACTGGCTTGAGGTGTCCATCTTCTTATTTTGACTTTGGTCACGGGCTGCCTCAGCACACAAGGTCTGTAACAGGTTTGCAGATAGACCAAGTTATGATCTGACTTGCCCATTGGTGGTAAGGCAGTGGCTTTGTAGGCTTCTTTGACGTTGGCATACAGCAGATCCAGGGTTTTGTTTTCTCTGGTAGGACAGTTCACAAACTGTGTGAATCCAGTCAAGTGACAGGAGAGGGTGACGTGTTATGCCCCAGTCTAGGACACAACATGATAAGGCCTCATCTTCCCCAAGTCCCAAGAAGCCACAAACCAGAGATTTGTTTCGATTTAAAGAAAATTATTTATTTACATAAGTAAATGAACATATAGATATAGAAAAATAACTAAGGCGGAGTGGTTAGGCTTCAGGGTGGACTAAGGCCAAAATAACAACCAAAATGATCCTGTCTATGGAGTAAGTAATTAACCTAACCAAACAAAGGAAACAAATGACAAAAGACCTACCTCCCTAACTAAATAAACAGGAGAAAATAAGGTTAACAAAACTGGCAGCCCACCCTTACTACTCAAAAGAAATCACTACCGAAATACACAACGGTTTAATCAGCAAAACAGTGTGGCCGGTTGGGAGAGGAGGAGGATAAGGAATGCCTGCAGCCCTGCCACCGGTGGCCGCCATCTTGGCTCTTCATATAGCAGGTGGTAGTAGCTTTCAGCCAATCCCTGGCCAGGAAGTAGATCCAATGACCGCACGGCTGTGGCACACACCTATTTGCATACGAGATTGGCACAAAAGACACAGGGCACACACACACACACACAGCAGACAGTCTACAAATATATGACCACAGTCATAACAAATGGTTGAAGTCTCCAGATATTATTATTAGTGCCTCAGCGTGTTGAGTCTGTAGCCTGGCTACACTATTTTGCAAAACATCGCAACATTCTTCAGTTGATTTGGGTGGAATGTAAACAACTACTGTTATGATGTAATCTTGTAAAGCAAGATGGCGCCGGTGTGTGTGGCTGGCCGTCTGCTACGTCTGCTACTACTGCAATGCTTGTTTTTTCTGTTGTTTTTAACCATTGGCACTAAACAAATCGAGTCTCTGTTGGTGTATGATTGCCAGTCTCTTTTATCACTCAAACAAAAAGTCACAGATTTGCGTGGTTTTGATCGGGGTGGCAAAGACAGTTTGCCCCCGCTGTTGGCGGGGATTCCACCTCACCTGTGCCGGGTGCTGGCCCTGCCTTCTCGCCGGAGGCGTCCTCGTCGCCGCGGCGGTCGGCTGGTGAAGCTAAAGCTTCGGCTGTCCTGATCTTCGTCCATTTTCCGGACAGGGCATGGATTATCCCCTCATGTCTTTGTGCCTCGTCGATTTCTGGACCCGATCGGCGTCTGTCTGGTACCTGTCATCGGCTCAGCGGAGGGACCCGAGGCGGGGTGGACCATCGGCTCCTCAGATCGCTGCGCCCGGCTCCCCGACCCACCGGACTGCAGGCCCCGGCCCCAGCACCCGCCAGGATCTGCTTGGTAAACGCCAGATCCCTGGTGAATAAAACTTTTATCCTGAGGGATTTCTTCAGCTCTCGTGCCCTGGATTTCCTCTGTGTGACAGAGACTTGGATCGGTGCGGGTGAGTCCAGCGCTCTAGCCGAACTTTTACCTCCCGACTGCTCTTACTTTAACTCCCCGCGGACGTCGGGTCGTGGTGGAGGAATAGCAACGGTATATAAGAATGGCTTTAAATGCAAGCAGCGCACAGTATCATCCTCTTTTTCAAGCTTTGAGGTGACTTTATTTGATGTGGGTCGGTCTGACCCGGTGCTGTGCGCAGTCGTTTATCGCCCCCCCCAAATACAATAAGGAGTTTTTAAATGACTTCTCTGGTCTACTGGCTGAAATTATGCCGAACTATGATCGTGTCCTTATTCTTGGGGATTTTAATATTCACCTGTGTTGTCCAGAAAAGCCGTTGGTGAAGGACTTTGTAAGTCTTATTGACTCTTTTAATTTGGTGCAGTGTGTGTCGGGTGCCACACACGAGCACGGGCATTTACTGGACCTCGTACTGTGTCATGGTTTACATGTGTCTAACCTGGTGATATGTGATGATGTATTTTCTGATCACAGGCCTGTATTGTTTGAAGTGTACCTTTCTTGCTCTGAGGTTAAATCTGGCGCTCCTGCGCAGAGACGCCGGATTATTAACCCCTCCACTGCCGGTTGCTTCTCTGTGGCTTTTGAACAGCTCTGTGTCTGCCCTGCCTCTGCGAACACAGAGGTGCTCAGCTCCTGGTTTCATTCCTCCTGTGAAAATATTCTGGACTCTGTGGCTCCTTTAAAAACTGTTCGGCCAAAGGCTAAATCGGAGCCCTGGTTCAATGAAGAAACTTGCGCAGCCAGACGAGAGTGCCGCAAAGCTGAGAGAAGGTGGAAGAAAGACAAGCTGCAGGTTTCTTTCCAAATCCTTAAGGACTCCTTGATCACCTACCAGAAAACTGTTAAACAGAGCAAAATACAATATCTGGCAAACTTGGTGGAGGTAAATCACCATAACCCACGTGTGTTGTTTAAAACTATCGACACTGTTCTTAATGCCCCACAGCCTGCCAGCTTGGAGGCATCTGTGGAAATGTGCAATAATTTTCTGTACTTTTTTATTGAAAAGGTTGTGACTGCCAGGTCTCTCATCTGTGCTCCTGCATCAGACCCCTCTGTGCCTGTTCCTTGTTCGGCAGTTCTTGACAGGTTTGAACCTGTGTCTTCGTCATATTTAGAAGAGCTGGTTGGCCATATTAAGCCTGCAGGTTCTCCCTGTGATGTTGTCCCTCCCAGGCTGTTCAAAGAGGTTTTCCCCTGCATAGGTCAGTCTGTTCTGGCTATCATAAACAGCAGTCTGTCCTCTGGTGTTGTTCCGCCAGGTTTTAACAGCGGCGGAAGGAAGTCTCCAAACTTCCTTTTATTTCAAAGATTTTAGAGAAAGTTGTTCATGTTCAGCTAAAGTCCTTTCTGGATGAGCATGGTGTCTTGGAGGTCTTCCAGTCTGGTTTTAAAACTCGCCACAGCACAGAGTCTGCTTTAATAAGAGTTTTTAATGACATCCTCCAGGCAAATGACTCTGGTGATTATGTTATTCTTGTTCTGTTAGATCTAACTGCAGCCTTCGACACAGTGGACCACAACACTCTGGTGGCTCGGCTAAGCTACCTTATAGGTGTCCGTGGTACTGCACTAGAGTGGTTCAAGTCTTATTTGAGCGACAGAACAATGAGCGTGAGCCTTGGAGATACAAAGTCCAGCTCTGCTCCACTGCCGTATGGGGTTCCACAAGGGTCGATTTTAGGGCCCCTGCTCTTTTCTTTGTATTTGCTGCCCCCTGTGTGAAGCGCTGAGGCACTGCGAGGATGAATGAGAACGAAGTTGTGCCAGTTACCTGTGATTCTGAACAAAAGATGAAGGCTTCCTAGCGCGTATTTAGTTAATGAAATGTACACACAGCAGTACGTATTTACCACTTTTTCTTTTTCTGAGGGGGTGACATTTTAAGGGAAGCTGAGCTTCCCTTGCAGTCTTAGAGCAATCGCCACTGGTGGGAATGCTTCGCAATCCCACTCAATTAGAGAGATTAGAGATTTGATTTATTGGTCCCCTTGGGGAAATTCATCTTCACTGACTGTACATTATAGGAAAGACAACGACATTGCACATTGCAAACATCAACAAACAGTAAGGACAGACATAAATAGTGTGGGACAGTGACAACAGCGAGAGGTGATAGGCTGGTCAGATAGGTCAGCGGGGCCTGCTGTTAAGGGCGGCGATAGCTGCAGGGATCAGGCTTTTCCCAAGACGGGCCCTCCTGAATTTTAGTGTTCTGTACCTGCGCCCAGAGGGTAGTGGAATGATGTGTCAGTGTAATAGGTGAGTGATGTCTTGAACTTTTGTGTTTGCCAGTCGAGTGACGGACCTGTTATTAAATTCTGTAAGGTTGGGTGTGGGGAGGCCAATGATTTTAGCAGCTGTATTTGTGAGGCGTGACAGTTTGGCCCGGTTGGTGACGGATAGCATGGTGTAAAAACATGTGGAGCAGTACAGAAGGATGAGTTGTATAATGCTTTTGTAGAGTAACAACAGAAGATGAGGTGCAACATATAGTCCTTTAATTTTGCGGATGGCTGACAGTCTTTGTTGGCTCCTTTTTTGAATGTCCGTGGTGTGCTGATCAAAGGTGAGTTTATTGTCCAGAGTTATTCCAAGATATTTAAAAGTGTCGACTGTCTCAACTGTTTGTGCGTTTATGATGATGGGATCCTGGGGTGAGGGGGGGCTGAATCATAATTATTTTGTTTTATTGACGTTGATCTTCAGGTAACTGTCTGTGCATAGCTTGGTGAAATGGGTGAGTGTGTTGTGGTAATAAAGATATGAATTACATATAGTGGGAATGCTTCGCAATCCCACTCAATAATAATAATAATAATAATAATAATAATAATAATAATAAATGGCCGACAGGAATAACAATAAGAAGAAATGCTTAATCAGCATTTCCACTTAATAAAAATAATAATAATAATAATAATAATAATAATAATAATAATAATAATAAAGAAAAATGGCCGACAGGAATAACAATAAGTGGAAAAGCTTAATCAGCATTTCCACTTAATAAAGAACAGGATAACAAATGCAAATACTTAATCAGCATTTCCACTTAATAATAAGGAAATAGGAGAATAACAGTGGAAATGCTTAATCAGCATTTCCTCTTGATGATAATAATAGTTCCTATTACTATTATTGTTATTATTATTATTATTAGTAGTAGTAGTAGTAGTAGTAGTAGTAGTAGTAGTATGAGTATTATGTTGAAAGCCGGAAATTAAAAGGTTTTCTGGGAAATGTAGTTTTCTCTGAAGGTACAGCACTTCCACGAAAACGTAAAACCAACACACCACCACTTCCTACATTACCCACAATCCCTTCCGTCTCATTTCCTGTCTGGGTTACACGTAGCATCGCCGCTGTGTTTCGGAGCTTCAGTGCAGGAAAAATAACTCTAAAAACGGCGTTTAAAGAATCAGTTTTATGGTTTACAGTTATTATTCGCTTTTATTAACCCGTCCTTCCTATAATGGCTGTATTCAGCCGTATGTGTAGGCCTAGCTAGGTCATCGGGATAGTTAGCAGGGGCTTGTGTTGTTTATATTCAGAGATGTATACTTTATTATCAGGTTTATATAAGTACATGTTCCAGAAGGATGAGTTCTGTATCCTCATCCTGGGACTGGATAATGCGGGGAAAACGGTGAGTACATTCATATATCGGCTTATTTTGGTTTATCACTGCCGTTTAAACTCGACTGTTTTTGCTAATAGCTGTGATATTTCAGCACGTTGCTTCTGTTATCCCTTCATCTTTCACAAAATAACTGTCTTTTCTCACAGTTCTTTGTTTCGTTAGAACAAAGCGGTCAATCTAAACTTCACTGCTAAACCGTCCACCTGAGATTCTGTTGCACGCCTATTCTTTTAATGACTGTAGCCACTGTAGGTGAAGCATAGCTGTGTCCGAAATGGAAAAACTCAATCCCTAACCCCTGACCCCCATATGGAATTTCACTATGGCCGTGTCTCATTTCAGAAACGGCACCTTCGAACGGCGCATTCGAAGTGTGCGTGAGGTCATCACGCGGCACGAACGGTGTCCCATTTGGCACGGAATGCAAAGCGCGCTTCAAATTCGGTCTCAAAACCACACTACCCCCGCCCCTTTTCCGAGCGTGCATTTATGCCATAGACTGTATACGCTATGGACAACCTGGTTCCGCCTACCGCCTGTATAAGGATTTGAAGCCAAAAAGCTCTCGGTATTTCCGGGATTTTTCTTCATTTCCTGAAACCAGCGCTGTGCAGTAGCGTTGTGCGCATTCGGCTGCGCAGTCACAGAGAGTCACTGTGATGACGCTCTGCTCAAACAGCGTATCCCACGGGAGAGCTACTCAATCCCTGAACGCCCATAGGCTGTATCAGGTGTCAATCAAAGAAAACATGAACCCCCTAATAACTTTTAAAAACGGAGCTTCACAGAAAAAAGATGACTTGAGCACAAACCAGTCTTACAATAACTACATGTCAACATCACAAGCAGGGGGGAGAAAAATTTATGTTCTGTGTAATAAATTTCTAAAGTTGGTCCACAGCCCCGTAAGCTTTGCTGGCGGAGGCAGGATTTATGACCTATACTGCAGCCCATCAACAGAGGGTGCTGTTCTCGGAGTGGCTTCACCCAGCGAGGAGGCAGACGGCGTCCATTCTATATACAGTCTATGATTTATGCACGCTTTCGTGCCGTTGGTATCCCAGAATTCTTTGCGTGCCGCTGTACAGCTGCACATTTCAGGTGAGAGGCCGGACTCGCTTAGAGACGCAGCGCGTCTTCAAAGAAAATAAAGGAAATTCAAAAACAGCAGACAGTCAGCTCCTCAGGCTGCATGAGCGCATGATCTCTTAACTCACTAAAATCTGCAAACCAAACATTATACTCTTTAGAGACGAACTGATCCGCTCTGCTACCACAATCAAAAACATTAGACATAAGAAAGCTGACAAAACTACAGCAGAGTATCATTGACACACTGAGTTTTTTTTTTTAAAGATTTAGAGATTAAAGTTGTAAACTTGGGAGAATAAAGTTATCAAGTAAATAAAGTCATAAATCTGCTTTTGTGGAGGAGGAAATGGCTGAAGCTGGTCATCTGCAGGGTTATCGGTGAATGTATCATTGGGTCATTCAGAAAGTTTTTGTGGTTTCTGAAGAAACAATCCAACTGATGATCAACATTTGCGATCCAGAGGAAGTCAAGCTCCGATGAGCACCACGTCTCTGACACCGGCGGTAACCTACACCTGCAGAGACACCAACGCCTTAGTATGGCATATGGATTCATATCATAAACTAAAGCTCAATGCCATTCATGGATATTTACGGCTGCATTGACAGATATATCCGCAGCATATCCATTTCTGCCGCCACAAAAGCAGCGATTTCCTTCAAGTACACCTGTTTTTTCCCCCGTGGAAAAGACGTATTTCTCATATATTCTTTTTTAAGTCTTTATACTTGTGACAATGTAATGCTGATGTGCCAAAGGATGAAGTGTATCCTTGTTTGTGAAACCTATAATGAAGCACAGTTCCTTTAAATACTTCATGGCCCTAATTTTAACAACTCTCCTTTGAAAAAACAGGTAACCATATGACTTTATTCTTATAAATGAATGACTTTATTCTCGTAAATTCACGAATTAAATCTCAAAGTCTTTAAAAAAAATTCTCAATATGGCCCTCATACTTCTTCATACAAAACATGCAATCACTGGATGAATTTTGTGGGAATGATCTGTGCTTGTATATATCTACTGTTTTGTATCTGTGCAAGGTCGCACAATTAAAAATATCTGCTGCGCTCTGATGGTTTTCTTCAAGTCAGTCATGACGCGGGTCTGAGGGCGGGGACATTTGGCGACTCAACCAGGAATTCCTCTTAGGGGTAGTGTGTTCCATTTCACAAAAACCGGACCATCTCACCCAGGGTACTCAAGTCTACATAACGGCAGCACGCTCAGCCTAATGTGGTCTCTAAAATGAGACACAGCCTCAGGGGCGGGGATAGTGTGGTTTTGAGACCGAATTTGAAGCACACTTAGCATTCTGTGTCAAATGGGACACCGTTTGCGCCGCGTGATGACCTCACGCACACTTCAAATGCGCCGTTCGATGGTGCGGTTACTGAAATGAGACACGGCCACCCTCAAAATGGTGCTAACCCTCATATAGTCACCGATATAGGGGTTAGGGATCCATATCGGACACTGGGGCTGTGTCTCATTTCAGAGACCGCATCAGGCTGAGCGCGCTTCGCTGTGTGCACTGCCGTTTTGTGCCCTGAGTGAGATGGTCCGGTTTTTGTGAAATGGGACAGACTACCCTTCAGAGGACTTCCTGGTTGAGTCGCCAAATGTCCCTGCCCTCAGGCTCACGTCATGACTGACTTGAAGAAAAGCTGCGGAGCGCAACAGTTATTTTTTAATTGTGCGACCTTGCACAGACACAAAACAATAGATACATACAAGCACAGATCATTTCCACAAAATTCATCCAGTGATTGCATGTTTTGTATGAAGGAGTCTAAGGGCCCATATTGAGAGTTTTTTAAAGACTTCAAGATTAAAATTTTGAATTTATGAGAATAAGTCATTAATTTATGAGAATAACGTCGTACGGTTCCCTGTTATTTCAAAGGAGAATTAGTGCTGGGCGATATGGAAAAAAAATGTATATCACGATATGGATCATTTTATATCACGATAACGATATATATCACGATATAGCTATGGTATGCTTTAAGTTCTAGGAAAAATTAAAGTGTATACAGCTGCACTAGTACCAGTACAAGACCAGCACTTAAAACTAGAAAAATGAATAAATAAATACGTGGCTGAAGTGCGTTCATGTCTGTGCTCACCCAAAGTTATGCAACACTCACAGAAAACGCCGATAGTGTGAGCCAAAGCACCCCATAATAGTAGTAATAATAATAATAATAATAATAATAATAATAAATTTAATTTGTAATGCACTTTACATTTACAAAAAATCTCTAAGTGCTACAGTACACAGTAAAAAAAGAGCAGCAACAATAAAAAAAGCAATAGAATGACAGTCACAGATTGGCATAAAAAAAAGAATTAAAAAAATAAAAAATACAGAGTTGCAATGTAAGAGGCAAGGTAGTAAAAGCATAAAGCATAGAGGAAAACTAACTAAAGGCTTTATTTAAAAGGTAGGTCTTTGAAGAGGTTGTTCACACTGCTAGATGTTTCTCCTCCAAAGCTGCTCTCTGCCTCCATCATTGTTTACTTTACTCTTGAAGCACGTAGGAAGACCCGAGCATGAATCCGAGCGCTTTATTCGCCTATCAGGGGCAGACAGGTAAGGTGATTTGATTCGCCACGACTCCAGAAATGATTGAAAAACTACAGAATGTCACAAAATTACGTTTCCTCGCTGCTGGCTTGAAGGGTAGAAATGCGCAGCCGCGCTCCTAGCTGACAGGAAGTCAAACCACTGTTGTAGTTCTTTTGTGTTGCTAGCGCGGTCAAGAGTGTTGGCTCTCACTGAGAGATGACTACAAAAATGGACGCACCTGTTCATCTGGTTGTTAAACACGGCTGAAAATGATCATCTTTTAATGTTGTTCCCGCTCCTGCCCACTCCCGTTGCTTTTTTTCCCGTCCCGTCCCGATCAAGGGATTAATTAAAAAATGACTCCCATCCCGTGGGATTCCCGCGGGAATCACGTGACCCACGAATTCCCGAAAAATGTCATCCTCTACAGGGAAGGTCCCGGAGCAGATGAAACAGGTGCCGGAGCGGCTGAAATAGGTCCCGGATCCGATCAAAAGAGGTCCCGGATCGCGCTCTGACTTGCTCCAGCACAAATTAAGCACTGCTTACAATGATCCCCTCACGTGTGTAACCCAGGTAACCCGCAACGGCGGGAGACGCTGGACACGAAGAGGGCACGTAAAGCGGCGTCATGTCGCAAAATCGAAAGAGAAATGCGAGCCTACATGTCAACGCATACTTTTCTTTGTAAGAAAATATTGTTTTCTTTCCCGTTCGACACCAAATACACTTACTGAATGTGCAATTATTGTTGTTGTTACTATGAATCATCTGATGGCACAAGCCCTATGGATAAAATACAGCCTATCGCCCGAAACGATAAAAATAAAAATGGCACGATAGACATTTTCTATCGTGCCCACGATATCTATCGTCCTATCGCCCAGCACTAAAGGAGAATTGTTAAAATTAGGGCCATGAAGCATTTGAAGGAACTGTGCTTCAGTATAGGTTTCACAAACAAGGAGATACTTCATTCTTAAGCACATCAGCATTACATTGTCATAAGTATAAGGACTTCAAAAAGAATATATAAGAAATGCGTCTTTTCCATGGAAAAATAAAAACAAACAGGTGGACTTGAAGGAAATCGCTGCTTTTGTGGAGGCAGGTGTAGGTTACCGCCGGTGTCAGAGACGTGGGCCCAATCCCAAACTTCCCACACTCGCCCTTCACCACCGAGTGTCACTCGTAATGAAGTTACACTTGCAGCTGTGGAGTGCGCCTCAATTGAAATGGGAGGGTATAAACTAGGGCTGCAACGATTAGTCGACGTAATTGATTACGTCGACACGACAAATTAATCGACGCGAAAACGACGCGTCGTGTTATTGTTGTTAAGAATCACATGCCGGCGCCTCATGCTCATCTATAACTGCAGTGCACTACAGGATGTGCTGGGGGCAGTAGCGCTCGCTGTTTACATCCCGCGAGTAAACACAGAAGAAGAGTGCACACATTATGGCAGGACAAACCGAAAAAGACGCTCCAAAACGCCGACCCAAAACTTCCAAAGTTTGGAAACATTTTACGGAGAACAAACCAAAAAAACACGTTGATCAAAGCTCAGCTTTCCTACAATGGCAGCACCACGGCGATGCATGAGCACCTGAAACGCTGACACCCCGGAAATAGGTGTTTATAAACAAAGAAGACAGTGATTAATCGTGATTAATCGGACGACTAGTCGGACAACTAGTCGACAAAAAAATAGTCGTTAGTTGCAGCACTAGTATAAACAAGACGGGCAGGTATGGGACACCCTCCTCACTCCATTGGAAAACAGAGAGATTCATCGCCATAGCAACATAAAGATGCGTCCTGTGCAAGGCAGCGTTTTATAAGTAAACAGACATCATGTACAGTTCTGAGCCGCACCGGCTGCCTTGTTTCTTCATCCTCCCAGTAAAATCATAAATCCAGTAACCATTACAGTGACAGGAGCTAAATTACACTTCTACGTCTCTGAACCCCTTTGCTATTTGACATGTGCCTGCACAATCAAAACAAATGTCAGCACAGAGTACAATTTCAGCGTTTCATTTGATCGTTTCAAACCACGTCTTCTGTGATTTTTTTTTGTTTTTTTTCAGTTCGACAAAGGTGGACACATACGGAACTTATATTTGTATGTTGTTTCCTCCTCCTCCATTTTTGCCGGCACACTAACTGCAAATCCTGTCGTGAGTGAGCATCCGTGCAGACTCGCTATTGAAGGGCTGAACAGTCCACTCGCCCTCCTCACTCTGTGGTTTGGGATTGGGCCATAGTGCTTGCCGGAGCTCGACTCCCTCTGGATCACAAATGTTGATCATCGGTTGGATTGTTTCTTGAAAAACCACAAAAGCTCCCTGAATGACCTGCTGATACATCCACCGATAACCCTGCAGTTGACCAGTTCAGCCCTTTCCCCCTCTACCCAGGCAGCTTTATGACTTTATATACTTTATGACTTTATTCTCCTAAATTTACTACTTTAATCTCTAAATCTCTAAAAAAAAAAAACTTGATGTGTCCCTGATACTCTGATGTAGTTTTGTCAGCTTTCTTATTTCTAATGTTTTTGATTGTGGTAGCAGAGCGGATCAGTTCGTCTCTAAAGAGTATAATGTTTGGTTTGCAGATTTTAGTGAGTTAAGAGATCATGCGCTCATGCAGCCTGAGGAGCTGACTGTTTTTGGATTTCTTTTATTTTCTTTGAAGACGCGCTGCATCTCCAAGCAAGTCCAGCCTCTCACCCGGAATGCGCAGCTGAACAGTAGCACGCAAAGAATTTGCACACTTCAAATGCGCCGTTCAATGGTGCAGTCGTTGAAATGAGACACATCCAAAGACTGTATGAAGAAGTCTATGAGGTGAAGCAGTGAAATTGGTGTACTGTAATGAACAATATACTGCGCAGTATCTCAAAAGACATTTAAAATGAAATCACAAAGGATTAGTTTAGTCCCTGTAGCAGGCACTGAGATGTGTCAGAGTATTTAAGTTATGAGTAAACAAACATGTTTGTATTTGTTTATTGAAATAAAGCTGGTCACTTTAAAATGCACTAGAACAAGTAAATATGAAGAGTGGACTCGGTAACTTAAAATACACAGGTCATCAGAAGGAAACAGGGCTTGGGATCTGAAAGTGGATTTGTTTTTAATTCAGAGGCTTTGGGGGGTGATTTAAGTATAGATGTATGTATGTATGTATGTATGTATGTATGTATGTATGTATGTGTATGTATGTATGTATGTATGTATGTATGTATGTATGTATGTTTGTATGTAAGTACGTACGTACGTACTGGCCAGGGTGGGCAGGAGAAGACCTTATATATGATTATTAGCATATTCAGGTCAGTGTATTTTGTAAAGCATGTTTCATGACTATAAACTCAGTGAGTGCTGTAGGACATTTAACAGCAACAAAGTAAACAATGAACTTCAGCTGACTCTGGCAGGATTTTCCATTTTGTCTGAAATGAACTCTTTTACCTTGATAAATGAATGTCTCATGCTTTTATTAGTGTTTAATATCAACTTTATTATTATAACACATCTTTAAAACCAATATTTACTCAGCAGCACTTAGTCAGACAAAGCAAAGGTCTGACCTCAGGAGAATACCAGAACCAACAGGTGACAGTGAGGCCAGAGAGAGCAGAGCTGAGATTATTCAAACAATTATGAACAAAATACAATGTGCAAAAGGTCATTAAAGTAAATGAACAGATTTAAATGTTAGACCGATCCTCAACAACAGCAGGGCCAGAAATCACAAATCAGCAAATAAAGACACAGTGTTGACTCTTTTTAATGGAGCCTCCTTCATAGAAGACTTGATCCGATTTTACATCTGCTGCATCTGTAAACATGTTGGCTCCGGTCTTCTCTGTTTGTTCCTGATAATCTCTCTGCAGACGTTTCTGGAGCAGACCAAAACAAAGTTCAGTAAAAGCTATAAGGGGATGAACTTATCAAAGATCACTACCACCGTGGGCCTCAACAGTAAGTGCACGTTTGTCACAGTTTACTGCCCATGGATCATGTTTTCAGAGTCCTCCTGTTGTGTACAGTAAACTCATCTCTGTTCAGCTCCTCTCCACCTGTGATCTCTCCTGATGCTGCCTGTTTGAAGGACTTCACCAGGAGTGTATCTCCTCCTGCTGCTTTCTGATGTCTCTCTGATTTCTGGTTCTCCACAGTCGGTACAATTGACGTGGGGAAGGCTCGGCTGATGTTCTGGGATCTGGGCGGTCAGGAGGAGCTGCAGTCTCTGTGGGACAAAGTGAGTCACAAAAACAACATGTATATATAATGTGGATATTAACCCCTGAGACAGACTCTTTCAAATCTCCATTTAGACAATATTTCTGAGACACAGGCTTTTATTCTGAAAGGACACCAGATCAGGAAAAGGGCTTCAACATGCAGCTGCTGAAGAACCAGATTAAATGTGTGTGTTGGTGTGTTCACCCTCTCTCATTTCTGCGTGTGCTACTTCTTCTTCATGTTTAGTACTATGCTGAGTCTCATGGAATCATCTATGTGATTGACTCCACTGATGAGGAGCGTCTGTCCGAATCAAAGGATGCCTTCGGTGAGTGACCCGCCCTCACCTCACGACTCAGGGTCTGCCTGGGTCACATCCAGGAGACTGACGCTCATCCGGCTGTGACTGTTCTCCTGTTAACCTGCAGAGGGCGAGCTTTCATTGGTTAACAGCAGATATTCACAACTGTGATTGGGGGGGGCTGTCTGTCTCCAATAATCTGAAGTCAGGCCCGTTATCAGTAAACGTCTGTTGCACACGTCCTCCTGGTCTCTTCAACATTGGCATGTTATTGATATTTAATTGTGCATCACTGTTGTGTGAAATTGTGGTTCTGCTTGTCTCATTGCAGAGAAGATGATCAGCAGTGAGGCATTAGAAGGCGTCCCTCTCCTCGTGCTCGCCAACAAGCAGGATGTCCCGGTATGAACATCATCTGTTTGATTGAACCCTGACTCTCCTCATTCCTTCAAAGGTCTTCAGTTAACTCTGGATCCATGAGATGATTATTTTGACCTGCTGTGTGTTTGCTCTCTCCTCAGAACTGTCTGTCTGTGCCCGACATTAAAACGGCGTTCAGTGACTCCGCCCCCAAAATTGGAAAGAGGGACTGTCTGGTACAGCCATGCACAGCGCTAACAGGGTGAGACTGAGCTTCCTGATCATCAAATCCACCCTCACAGCATTAGTCTCTGATTTCTGATCAGGTCCAGATTTTGATCATAAAACATGTCTTAATGGTAGAGCCCATCCCTGAGCTACAGAGGCCCTGAAGGGTCAGCAGCTTAAAGCACTGAATGACCAGGAAAACATTAAGACTGCAAGGAAAAAAAACATTTAAAGAAAGACAGAAAATTTTCAAAAATGTTTCATGAAACAAAAACAGATTTTGAAAGAATTAAAAAGAAAATACTCTTGTGCTTCAAGATGAATTTTTGCATCTTGTGAAATGTTTTGCAATTTTAATTTGTTTCTGAGTTTCAAAAAAATATTCTTTTTTTCTGTCTCCTTCAGACCTTCTCAGACCCTCTGAGGCTCTTTTAGACTCCCTTAGGCCTTCTCAGACTCTCTGAGACTTGTTTCAGACTCTCTCTCAGACCCTCTAAGACTCTCTGAAACCCTTGCAGACCTTCTCAAACTCCTTCAGACCCTCTGAGACTCTCTGAAACCCATTTAGACTCTCTCTGACAATCTGAAACTCATTCAGACTCACTCCGAACTTCTCAGACCTTCTCAGACTTCCTCAGACCCTCTGAAACCCTTGCAGACCTTCTCAGACTCTCTCAGATCCTCTGAGACTCTCTGAAACCCTTTTAGACTTTCTCAGACTCCCTCAGACCTTCTAAGAGTCTTAAAAACCCTTTCAGACTGTTTCAGACCCTCTAAGGCTCTCTTACATCCTTTCAGACTCTCTGAGACCCTCTGAGAATCTCTGAAACCCTTTCACACTGTCTCATACTCCCTTAGAACCTCTGAGGCTTTCTGAAACCTTTCAGACTCTCTCTCACAGTCTGAAACTCTGTAAGACCCACTCAGACCTTCTTAGACTCCCTCAGACCCTCTGAGACTCTCTGAAACCCTTTCAGACTCTTTTAGACCTTCTGAGACTCTCTGAAACCCTTGCAGACCTTCTCAATCTCCCTCAGACCCTCTGAGACTCTTTGAAATCCTTTCAGACTCTCTTAGACCCTCTGAGACACTCTGAAACCCTTGCAGAATCTTTCAGACTCCCTCAGAGCCTCGGAAGCTCTCTGAAACCCTTTCAGACTCTTTCAGACTCCCCAAGACCCTCTGAGACCCTGTAAAACCCTTTCAAACTCCCTCAGACCCTCTGAGACTCTCTGAAATCCTTTTAGACTCTCTGAAACCCTTTCAGACTCTTTCAGACTCCCCCAGACCATCTGAGACTCTCTGAAACCATTTCAGTCTGTCTCAGACTCTCTCTCAGACCCTCTGAAACTCTCTGAAACCCATTAAGACTCTCTCTGACAATCTGAAACTCATTCAGACTCACTCAGACCTTCTTAGACTCCCTCAGACCCCTAGAGACTCTCTTAAACCCTTTCAAACTTTCTCAGACTCCTTTCGACCCTCTGAGGCTTTCTGAAACCTTTCAGACTCTCTCTCACAGTCTGAAACTCTGTAAGACCCACTCAGACCTTCTTAGACTCCCTCAGACCCTCTGAGACTCTCTGAAACCCTTTCAGACTCTTTTAGACCCTCTGAGACTCTCTGAAACCCTTGCAGACCTTCTCAATCTCCCTCAGACCCTCTGAGACTCTTTGAAATCCTTTCAGACTCTCTTAGACCCTCTGAGACACTCTGAAACCCTTGCAGAATCTTTCAGACTCCCTCAGAGCCTCGGAAGCTCTCTGAAACCCTTTCAGACTCTTTCAGACTCCCCAAGACCCTCTGAGACCCTGTAAAACCCTTTCAAACTCCCTCAGACCCTCTGAGACTCTCTGAAATCCTTTTAGACTCTCTGAAACCCTTTCAGACTCTTTCAGACTCCCCCAGACCATCTGAGACTCTCTGAAACCATTTCAGTCTGTCTCAGACTCTCTCTCAGACCCTCTGAAACTCTCTGAAACCCATTAAGACTCTCTCTGACAATCTGAAACTCATTCAGACTCACTCAGACCTTCTTAGACTCCCTCAGACCCCTAGAGACTCTCTTAAACCCTTTCAAACTTTCTCAGACTCCTTTCGACCCTCTGAGGCTTTCTGAAACCCATTAAGACGTTCTCAGACTCCCGCAGACCCTCTGAGAGTCTCTGAAACTCTTTCAGACTGTCTCAGACTCCCCCAATCCCTCTGAAACCCTTTCAGACTATCTCTGACACTCTGAAACTCATTAAGACTCACTTAGACCTTTTCAGACTCCCTCAGACCCTCTGAGACTCTCTGAAACCCTTTCAGTCTGTCTCATACTCCCTTAGACCCTCTGAGGCTTTCTGAAACCCTTTCAGACTCTCTCTCACAGTCTGAAACTCTGTAAGACCCACTCAGACCTTCTCAGACTCCCTCAGACCCTCTGAGACTCTCTGAAATCCTGTCAGACTCTCTCAGACCCTCTGAAACCCTTGCAGACCTTCTTAGACTCCCTCAGACCCTCTGATACTCTCTGAAACCCTTTTAGACTTTCTCAGGCTCCCTCAGACCCTCTAAGACTCTTTAAAACCCTTTCAGACTGTTTCAGACCCTCTAAGGCTCTCTGACATCCTTTCAGACTCCCTCAGACCCTCTGGGACACTCTGAAACCCTTTCAGACCTTCTCAGACTCCCCCAGACCCTCTGAGACTCTCTGAAACCCTTTCAGTCTGTCTCAGACTCTCTCTCAGACCCTCTGAAACTCTCTGAAACCCATTAAGACTCTCTCTGACAATCTGAAACTCATTCAGACTCACTCAGACCTTCTTAGACTCCCTCAGACCCCTAGAGACTCTCTTAAACCCTTTCAAACTTTCTCAGACTCCTTTCGACCCTCTGAGGCTTTCTGAAACCCATTCAGACGTTCTCAGACTTCCGCAGACCCTCTGAGAGTCTCTGAAATGATTTCAGACTGTCTCAGACTCCCCCAATCCCTCTGAAACCCTTTCAGACTATCTCTGACACTCTGAAACTTATCAAGACTCACTCAGACCTTCTCATACTCTCTCAGACCCTCAGAGACTCTCTAAAACCCTTTCGGACTCCCTCAGACCCTCTGAGACTCTCTAAAACCCTTTCAGACTCCATCAGTCCCTCTGAGACTCTCTGAAACCCTTTCAGTCTGTCCCTGACACTCTGAAACTCATTAATACTCACTCAGACCTTCTCAGACTCCCCCAGACCCTCTGAGGCATTCTGAAACCCTTTTAGACTCTCTCTGACACTCTGAAACTCTGTAAGTATCACTCAGACCTTCTCAGACTCCCTTAGACCCTCTGAGACTCTCTGAAATCCTTTCATACACCTCAGACCCTCTGAAATCCTTTCAGACACCTCAGACCCTCTGAGACTCTCTGAAACCCTTTCAGACTCTCTCTGATGCTCTGAAACTCATTAAGACTCCCTCAGACCTTCTCACACTCCCTCAGACCGTCTGAGACTCTCTGAAACCCTTTCAGACTGTCTCAGACTCCCTTAGACCCTCTGAGACTCTCTTAAACTTATTTAGACTCACTCAGACCTTTCTAGACTCCCTCAGACCCCTAGAGACTCTCCAAACCCTTTCAGTCACTCTGAAAATTTTGTAGACTAACTTAGACCTTCTTAGACTCCCTCAAACCCTCTGCGACTCACTTTGCCCTTTTTAGACTTCCTCAAACCCTTTTAGGCTCTCTGAAACCCTTTCAGACTCTTTTAGACTCCCTCCGACTCTGTGAGACTTACTCAGACCTTCCAGACTCCCTTCAGACCCTTTGAGGCTCTCAGAAATCCTTTTAGACTTTCTCAGACCTTCTGAGACTCCCTCAGACCCTTTTGAGACTCTTTCAGACTCACTCAGAACTTTTTAGACTCCCTTAGCCTTTCTGAGACTCTTTCAGACTCCCTTAGACCCCCTGGGATTAATTCAAAATCTCTAAGCTGCTCCAGTCCTGGTCCTCCTGACCCATTTTGTCTGACTCCTGACTGTTTGACTCGCTTTTATGTGACTCTGTGTCCTGATGCAGGGATGGAGTGAACGAAGGAATCGAGTGGATGGTGAAGTGTGTGGTCAGAAACATCCACAGACCTCCTCGACAGAAGGACATCACATAGGAGGGGGGGCTGGACTCTGTTGGACTGCGTTGGACTGTGAGGACTGTGAGGACTGTGAGGACGTATCCCTGTGCTCTGGTCTAGGAGACTCTGAACTGTTTAATATTTGCTCTCAGAGTTTTATCACAGACTGTTTCTGTAAAACTGTCCGTCTGCTCTGATTGGACATCAACCTGGTCACCTTTCTCTCCTGTTTCCTGAGTGAGCTCCTCTGACGGGCTGTGATCCAGGACAAACACTAATCAGGGTTTTGGTTCTGGTTGAAGTTTCTCACAGATAAGCTGATGTGACTGTGAAACTCTGTGTGTTTAAGATTTCACCCCATCCTGATCCTGCAGCTGAGCTGAACTGCCGCTGCACCTCCAAGCTTTGAACCTTGAACCCTGAAACAGAGTCATGATGGCGTCCCAGTGTGTCACTACATGCAGCACACACACACACACACACTCCCTCCCTCCATGCCTCCTCTGTTACTCCTTCTGGGGGATGATCAGAGGAGGAGTGACCTCACCCACCTTCACACCTCTCTGCAGACATACAGGTCATTGATTTCCTGCCTTTAAACTCCGCTATAACATAGATTTGGGTCTTTTTCTGAGTGTTAAGATTTCTTGACTTTCCTGAATGCATCAGAAATTATGGCTCTGACCTCCATCCAACAGACATATTCAGAGTTGTTTTGTGGTCTTCAGGACTGACCTGACAAAGCTGGAATTTAACTCTCTACTGATCTTCATCAGGATTTTATTTCAGCCTAGTTTTGAATCATTCACAGCAAGTCAATAAAAAGTAATTTGGTTTAAAGTGCAGAGCTTGGCCTGTGTGTGACTTTTCTCAGTGAAGCAGAGGAACAGCTGTAAACATCCTCGTTGGTATGACATGAATCACAGAAACACTCTCTTTCTCTTTAATGGTGAATTTTCTGATCAGAACAAGCCCAGATGGTCCAAACGAAAACCTGGTTTATACTTCTGCTTTGACTCTATTCTGTAGTGAGAACCACAGATCTGTGCATCCCCTTTGCAGGTCTCCTTCTCAACACTAGATGGCACTGTGACTTCCACAGGAACAGGAAAACATGGCAGCTGAATTGTTTCTCTTTTCATAAATTAGTGAGGGTTTTATCAGGATTCAGGATCAGTCTAACCCTCCTGAACAGCATCCTGTACCACACAGATTATGATACTGTGAGCGTAGCAGTAAATGACAGTCTGCATAGAAATCGTCTGCATAGAGACAGAAAAAGATCTGCAGAGAGTCAGTCCAAAACACCCAGATGTGGAGATGGTCTCTGACTTACAGACACTCCTGAACTCACCATGGAGACACCCACTGAGGCATTTAGAGATATCAGTGCACGCACACACACACACATACACAATCAGACACAAACTAGAAAGCAACAGTCCTGTGGGACTGGTTTACTGTTTTTTTTGCAGAGATCCTACAGGGAGAGACAAAGTGTTGGGTCTAAAACCTGCCCAAATACCTGAAAACATATAAAGAAGAGAAAGACAATGGTTTATGCTCGAGGAGAATGGACAGAGATCTTTTTTGTTATCTCAAGACCACTCTGAGAGTGGTTTTCTGTCCTGCCTCTTTTATTTAGGGTTGTCCCTGGTTACACAATGTTTCTAAAGGGTGGGGAAAAATATGTGCAGCAAAGTAAGCATTTTCATAGAACATAATAATGAACAATTGTGACTATGTGAAGGTCAAGGCGGCATCTAACGAGCTCCTTCCGATAAGAGCGGATCCTCCTCAAAAACTTCCCACGATTCACAGCGGAGGATACGTCACCCACACCTGCTGATAGGAAAAACAAGGTCACAGAAAACCGAAAGAAACATCGTTGTGCTGTGTAGTAAAGCTATTAGAGAGAGAAGTTAGAAAACACTCTTATATGATAAAAAACACTCTTATATGATGTATAAAAAGAGGTCAAAACAGTTTATACTTGTAGTAAACTCTGACAAAGAATATGAGGAATAATGATAACTTCTATATACATTTATGCACATTATTCTAACACAAGGTTACACAAGAATCTCAGCTCACAAACTCCACTCATCTTCACCCCTTGATTTATCATCATCTTTATCAGTCTGATAAAACTTGATAGTTCGACATGTACAAGGGAAAATCCACAGACAGGGCCAAACATGAATGGGTTTATACATGAATTAGTTTCAGCTTAAGTACAGAGTATGAAATATAGAGTATAGAATATTCAATTCAGAATATAGTGTATTGAGTATCAATTTTAAATAGTGTATAGAATATAGAGTATTGAGTGTAGTGTAAAGAATGTAAAGAATAGAATAAAGAGTATAGACAAGGGGAGGTTGGGGTAAGTTTAGCCACCCCCTGTTGCATGGAAATGGTAAAAGAAATTGATCATGTGACAAAATATTTAGGAGATGGGCATCAATTTGTGGATTCTGTGAAGTTTAGTAGCACATGGGTGAAGGGGTTGAATTTTTATTTCCAAAAAAAACATTTTTCACTCTTGAAAGTGAATAGTTTGTCATAATTGTGTTAGAATTGTTTTCAGACCAAAAAAGATCATTTTAAATTTGTTTTATATATCAATTGTGGTATCTATGAGCCAATACATGAGGTCGAAAACCTAGTATAAAAGTCCACCATTTTAGAGGACTAATAAAGTCATAATTTAGCTCTGGGGTAAATTAAGCCAGTGGCTCAACTGAGAAAGTAAAGGAGTGCTGAGAGAATCAGAGTTTCAGTTCAGATTGTTGAAATGTGTTACTTTTTCTTTTCAAAAATACAGCTGTGAATGTTCTGAATCACTTAAAGGCATCTTCGTGTTAAAATGGCGTTTTACAAAACAGCTTTTTAGCAGTTATTCACAAAAATAATAATTATTGTACCAGTTAAATAGTGTATGATAGATTAAAATACACATGAATGTGAAGAAGTGACTGTTATTTAGGGAGAGAGAAGCTGAGGGAGGGCTGGGGAGGTAGTAGAGTCCTGCAGAGGACTATACAGGGTAAGTTGACCATAGGAGACCACTTTTTTGACATGCTATATTATCAAGACAGTTATGTTGACACTCATTCTGTTGGTATGCAGGGATGCACAACATCTTGAAATATTTACAGTAGTACACAGCATACACTAGTTAGAGACAAAACCATGATTGCCTTGATGTAGAGGCCCGAAATATGAAAAATGGCTCATCTTACCCTACTCTCCCATAGAATGTATAGAGTATAGTGTACAGAGTATAGAGAGTATATACAATTCATGATGATATTCAGACCTTAGTCCAGGTTCAGTTTTAGAGTGAACCCCTTCACCTCATCAGGGTTTGAAAGTCTGCAGCAGGAACCACATACCCTGACAGGTAACACAGAGTCCAGTCCTAGATTTTCTCTGTTTCATGTCTCAGCTACGTTTTTTTTCGTCCTAATATCAACCTGTTTTCTTATATCAGGTGACGCCTCGCTCTCAGTCATAATCTGACCTTTGACCCAGTTACAGCAGCTCTCTGCATTACACACTCACACTGTGAGTTGTATTGAAGCTCTCCTCCCAGTCAGAGTTGGGCGGGGCCACACAGGAAAAACTTGTCACATTCCTCTGTTGGCCAATCAGGGTGCGACAACAAGCCGCCTGAGCCAGACCTGACCTCAGACAGTCAGATCTGGGGCCTATTCTACGAAGCAAGTTCGACCTAGCGAAGTAGCCTTGGAGCTACCTCACTCAACTTAGCACGGTAGCCAGCGGTCTGGCTAAACCATCTTACGACGCTGGTTATCAACCTCATAAGTGGATCCAGCTTTGCTATGAGCGCATACACGCATGTAAGGTGGAGCCCGCCACATCTGACCAATTGCAAACATGGACCATTCTGGAGCGTCAGAGCGGGACGGAGAGCGAAGCAGGAGACGATCAGGAGAAAGTATGAAGAATTCAAATCTATCATAAACGTCAAAAGCAACACTGTCGCCACTGCAAAAACGGAAAAAATGCTGGCAGAAAATTGCCGACAGTCTCAATGCATAAATATAGTGCGCAAAAAATCATTGATGCCATTATCACCCTGGAATAACACTGTTCAACATGCACTTTTAACATGCACAAGACATGTCTAATTCATTTCCAAAATGAATTCATTCATTTGTTCATTCCTATCGTGTTTACATTTTTGTGTGATATATAGGCCATATGAGCCTTTCATAAAAGTGGTCATCCGGAAAAGTAAGTGGGTCCATGCGGTCCCTGAAAACTGTCACGCGCCGGAGTGCTCCATGGACAATGCGAGCACTGAGGTCTATAGGATCCTCCAGGAGCGGACAAGCCATTTTTTGAGGGAGCTCATTGGTCAGTGGGCGGGGTTTTTATACTCGGGGAATTCAATCTGGAACCTATCCTGACCTGGAGCAGGTTAGCCGCTCCGCGTACATTGCCATGGAGACTTGCCTCGCTAAGAAGTGAACCCGCGTCGTAGAACAGAAAACCCCAAACTTACCCTTGAAGTTACCTCGCTAAGCAGTAATCCTGCTTCATAGAATAGGCCCCTGGACTTTTCCGTCTAGTTTAATCATTTCCTGACACAAGCAAAGAGTTTATCGGAGAAAAGAAACTGAAGAATTAAAGTCTGAGTCATTTGGACACACCTTCCTCAGAAACAGAGTAGAAATCCTGCTGTGACAGGGATCATCTTAACCTGCTCTCTGGGGAAAAAAACAACATATATTTATATTTACACTGTCTGTTTAAGGACATGCATAAAGTATCTCAACATAATTCAGGCATTGGTTCTTCATTTAGTGCTTCATTAAACCACATAAACCTGAGGAGAGTTCACCCGTCTGCCACCAGATATTTTATTTCCATCCACAGAAACCATCTCTTCAGATTTTCTGAAGAGGAGACCCTTGAGCCGAACACATGACATATTTCTTTGAATGAAGTGACGGATCAACTGCTGAGTGAAATAAGGAGAGCTCAGAACAGCTACATAGTCTGTCAGGGGGAAGCCAGAAGTGGATGAAGCTGAGCAGTAGTGCAGCATTAACAAAGTCTTCATAGATGTGGAAGATACCCATGACATGTACTCTGATGATCCCCAGATCATCAGGGATGCTGGATTTGGACTGGGAGCTGAGGACAAGCTGGGTGGACCCTCTACTCTTCAGAAAGGAGGATACAGAGTCCAGGATTTCCTAAGAGACTGTCTGTTTTTAAATTCGTCTGACCTCAGAACTGTTTTTCACCTTCCCTCAGCCTGTCTTATATGGGCTCAGGTTCAGAGAAGACCCCAGATCTTTGGATGGTCTGGGGTCAGTGAAGACCCCAGACCCTTGGATAGTTTTTATACGTGGTTACTAACAGCATCCATGGTTTCCAAAAAGGGTGTCAATTTTTAACTGGTTAAACCACAGGATTGGGATTATAATATTCATTTGTGGTCTCCTCTTTTCATGGGTCACATTGAACCTCATCTGTGGATGTAGTGATGAGCTGTGTTCACAGAGTTTTGTTTGTTTTTAATGCTGTGATATCCACTCCAGGGTCCTGTCCGTTTTTAGATCTAAGTGACTGAAGGAGACAAAAATAAATGAGTTGTGTCTGCACTAGGTCAACAGGCTCTGTTATGTAATCCCCCATGGGGTCAAACTGTTTCCACTAAAAGTTCTTTTTTGTAAAAGGTGGAGACATGTATGGAGACCCTCTGCCATCTCTTTACGAACTCATGGGATTGCACTGATAAACAGGGATCTAACTCACAGGGGACAGGACAGGGGCCTGGGTCTGGTCTTGTCTAGTAAAGCTGTGAACCGTCTGGGTGTGTCAGTCCTGGTTTTATGTTGAACCCTTTCCTGTATCTGGGTGGAACTGA